AATGATGCTGTATTGCATCTGTGCCCTGCTTGTTGTGGACATGTTAAAGTAATCTGGGATGTAACATAAGAATGATTGTTCAGGGTAATCTCACAGCGCATTAATCAAGTAGTGGGTTCCTTTGGGAGGGTGGGGCTTTTTTCACCATTTTACTGGCAGTATATGAATGTGAATACAGATTTACAGTGCAGCCAGTTCAGTCAGACTTTGTTGAACTGCAGGATTGGAAGAGTATAAAATGTACTATGTATACAGGTAGTGAAATACTAGATAATGTCTATTCTTCTTGTATCTCAAGTGAGCACAGGTCTGCTAAACAATATAGACTGTTTTAACCTCCTGTAGTAAAGTGAAATCACTTAAATGTATCTGAACACTCCAATTATACCCATTTCATAAAAGCAAGCTTTAAGTGGTTGCCAGATGTTGTGCCCTCCTGAGTTTCCAGGCTTGGATTTTTTTTTGCTAGTATATATTTTTCCCTTTCTGCAATCCATGAATTTGGAATGAAAGTTACACTGGTGGTTTGACTGTTGTGAGCTTGCAAATCCCTGACACTATGCTTGCAGTTCCCTGGGGTACAAAGGTAAAACCAGCCCTGGAAACCCTGGGGGATCTGTCTGGATGGACGATGATGATGGGAAGATGCTACAAAAATGTCTGTGGAAAGTCTTTACTGCTCTTTGTGTTGCTCTTCCGTGAAGAAAATCTGTATGTCATGGTCTGATACGCTCTATTTGTGAATAACTAATGCTGCTAGATTTACACAACTACTTTTTAGCACTGCTTCTGTGGTAAAACAGGCCTCTACAGTGCCTTTTTATGTGGAAATCTTGTAGCTGGGTGTGGTGGGGAAGCCGTTCAGTGACTCATACTGCAGGGAATTCCCTGATGAATTAGTGTATTTTTACTTCTGGACTTGTGTGCAGTTTCCTTCAACACTGGAGTGAGTGGCCGATAAGAGCAGACTACAAAGGCCCATTCACCGTTTAGCCATCCCATGTTAAACCAGGGTGTTTATGCTTTGCAAAGCTGAAAATCTACCCAATGTAATGTGGTAGGTTCATGGTATTTTTATCATTAGCAATCTCAGGTGCTCCTAGTGTCACAGCGACAAAAAAAAAAAAAGAGTCTGAAGCGGATGGCGGTGAAGTGCACAAGAAGCAGAGATGGCTATAAATAACAGAGATCGGTCTGTAAATGTCAGGCTTCCTGACAAACCTAGTGTCTTCAGCTGGTGGCAGTGCTGATGGCCACCTGTCAGCACAGCGTCCAGCCCAGGCGCAGGCAGAGAGCCTGTGTGGAACGGGGGATTTCTCTTTCCCCTGGCACTGCCACACTCCTGTGCTGCCTTCCTTGAGGAGGAGGGATTTGAGGGTTGTTCATGCAGCTCTTGGCACTGTTCCCCCATGAAGCCTTGGCTTTGTTGGGTCAATCACTGCTGCTACTGGCACTGGGGGGCGGGGTACTCCACTGGGGACCCTGCAGGGCTTGTGCCCTGTGGTTCTTTCATGGATATTTCGGTTTTATTTCCATTTTGTAAAAAAACCCTCACAAAATAAAAGAAATCCAATATGATGCCTCAACACAACTTTTTAGCTATATAAAGAACTGTCTTTCTCTTCAAAATATTGCACTATAAATCTTAAAAATGCCAAAACAAAGGCAGGCATTTGGTTTGGAGAAGACACTTCTTATTACTTGGTAAAAGTAAATAGTGAAATGAAAGGGAATGAAATAAGACCTTTGGAAAACCCGTTTTGTCCCTTTTCCTCCCTGCCTCCTCTCCTTCCTCTCCTGACTCTGTCTCCCCCCCTTCCCTGTATAACAACTGCCCATTTGGGTACGGTAATTCCAGAGAGTAAACTTTAACGGGAATGCCTGAAATGTGTCTGCTTCAGCTTTGTGTTATGTCTGTAATTTGAATTATTTGCATTTTGGAAAGGTATAAATTGCTCTGGTGTACTTGGGTTGGCTGGTGGCCAGGAGGGAGGGAGTTGCCTCGGGCCCAGACCAGGCGCACTGCTGCAGATGTGGCAGGCTTACAATGGAAACTTTTGTGGGTGAGCAGCCCTCACTCCTCCAGCACACACTGACAGGAGGCGGCATCCCGCCTGCTCGCCAGGCTCCCTGGTGGATGGGCACTGGGGCAAAATCGTTTTCTCCGGCCTCGACAGATTGTCGTGATGCTTAGGGCTCCCAAAAAACATTCCAAAGCCGTTATTCCTTTTTTTTTTTTTTTTATTTCAGCTGAACTGTATAAACCTGCAAAACATGTTTACTGTAAAAGGTTGACGTAGTGGTCTAAGGTTTCCCTCCTGGAGCTCGTCCCAGTCCGTGGGCGTTGAGATTTCCCTCTTGGTTCACCAGACGTAATATGAGGAATTGTCTTTTTTTTTTTGTCTCTTGCTTCATAACAACTTTTTCTCCCTGTGTTTTTGTTAAATTAAATGTCACTAGCTGTTAATGAGTTGTCTATTCCCTACTTCTTCCCTCTCTTCCCTTTCCCCTCAGTTGTTGAGCAGTGATGGTCTGTACAGTCTCAAGGGAATTTCTTGGAGCAAAACTCATATTGTTCTTATTAGCTTCCAAAGACAATCCATGGCTCTGGATTTTTATTTTCCTAATAGTTTAGATTACAGCATTTAAAATATTCCTGAACAAACTCCTTTTGTCATCATAAAAATTTCAAAAGTGCATAAAGGCAGTGCTGCATGAAGTAATTGAAAGATTAGCTAGAGATGGAGTCATTTTGAATTTTACTGAAGTATCGGAAGGAAATAAAAACCAGAAACCTGAATCAGATCATTCATCTTGCAAAGCAGAAATTAAACTTAACAAAAAACCTGAACTTCTGGTAATCCGTTTACAAAGGCAAATTGAACACATGTTAACAACTACTAGTCTGGACGTCTGTTGATTTAAAAAAAAGCCAACCCAACAAACCCCTTCCAAAGAAGTTCCTAGACATTGCTAAATGTGTGATAGTGTTGGTGTTGTGTTGCTTTTACAACCAATTTAATTAATTGGGGGTGGGGAGGGAGTGCTACAGGGGCTCTATGAGGAGAGGGCTGCAGATAAAGGAGGTGGCTCCCAGACAGGGGATGTGTCCTGGCTTGCTGAATTTCGGTGAGGGTTTTTCTACTGGCAGCTCAGGGGAAGCATCTGTTGGATAAATTGTGAAGTGATTGCCAGTCCTCCCCAGAAGTCTGCTTCAATTCTGGCACTCTCCAAAGGCAGAGTTAAGGAGACTTGAGCACAGTCTGGCTGCGCATTCTCTCCCAGCAGCCGAACGTGGCAGTACCAATTAAAGGGATTCCTTTTCCAGCGTCACAAGTTAAAATGCAGGAAGAAACTGAGAGTAGATCTGCTAATTGTTTTCGTACAGAAAGACCTGCCAAATCCAATGTGGTATTTGTGCTGCAGCCTTCATGTTGCACTTCTTTTCATAAGTTAAAAAGAAAGGGGTTTTGGACATTAAAACAATGGCCAGGCCTAGTCCCTCAGCAGCATTCCTTTCACAGTAGGACAGCTGTACCCAAAAATATTATTTACAGACATTTGTAATAAATCAGGCAGTTCTAAATGCGTCACCTCCACCCTGGCCATGAAAGCGAAGAGAGAAGAAAAAGTACATTCACTCCTTTCATAAGTTAAAAAGAAAGGGGTTTTGGACATTAAAACAATGGCCAGGCCTAGTCCCTCAGCAGCATTCCTTTCACAGTAGGACAGCTGTACCCAAAAATATTATTTACAGACATTTGTAATAAATCAGGCAGTTCTAAATGCGTCACCTCCACCCTGGCCATGAAAGCGAAGAGAGAAGAAAAAGTACATTCACTCCCTTTCCTTTCCTCCACCCTGGCCATGAAAGCGAAGAGGGAAGAAAAAGTACTTTCACTCTTTTACCTTTCCGAGAGCTGTTTTTCTAAGGCAGGCACATGTCTATGTGATGAAGTTCAAAATAACTAATATTTGCATTTGCATGTCTCGGTGCTGCAATAAACATACAAAAGAGATGACATAAAGTCTCAGTTTCCCATTCATTTCAATGACATCTGACAGTGGTGGGACTTTCGAAGCTGCATGTGTCTCCGCTGCCCAGCTTAGCGAAGCTGTCAGCTTGTGGCCTTTCATTTGTGTTTTTCTAGGCCTGCAGGATGGAAAACTTAAGTTTCATATAATTTTTCTAATTTTTTTGCTGTTGAGGTTTGAAGATGCAAGGAAGTAAAAGCCCACCTTGCTGTTGGTCAGTGATTTCTGTATCAGTGATGTGCAGGGAAAATGACCAGACAAAACCAATTTCTTCCAAAAGATGGATTGGCAGAAGAAGTTATAGCTGTGGCTTAAGTCTATGTTTGCTTAAAAACAGAAATATGGTAAATTAGGAGGACCCAACACAGCACTAGAAGCAGCTCTAGAAGTACAACCACTGTAGCTGAGCTAAACCAACTTCAAAATGGAGTCAAAAGCTATGTTTCCCAGCCTATGGCCTTCCCTTTTGATTAAAGCAGCAGAATTACGACAAGCTAGACTAGGAGTATATTAAAATCAAATACTGCATGACTGAGAAGCTTTCTTAATAATACCTTCTTTTCATTTTGTTTAATATTAATGTTGAATATGACTTAGTGCATAGGTAGTGATCAAAAGGCCTCATAGGTAGCAGCGTTGTTGTCTGAAAGTTCAGGATACTAAGGTGTAGAACAGTTTTAAATTTTGTCCACACCAGTGGCAGAACAAACGCACAGTGGCTTTCCTTCTTCACAGTATCATGCACTCTGGATTGTGGTTCTCTCTTTCAGAAAAGCTAAGTGGACTCCTGTCGCAGGTTACCCAAATGGTCTCTTAGTTGGGCAATACTTGGGCAATGTTTTTGAGAGCTGTTTTTCATATATGCAGTGCTCCTCTGAAGAGATGTTTTTGCAAAAGTCATTCCTTTCTTGGCTTGGGAGAGGAAGAAAGGACAGAACTAGATATCTTTTTCTTTTGTCTTTTAGATGGTCACCATGTGTGGGAAATGGAAGCCAAAACCGACAAAGAAATGTGCAAGCCAGTAAGTCTGCCTTAAATATTTTAACATCAAGATGAAAAATATATATTGCCTTCTCCAGCACTGTTACTAAAGAGGGATTTCCAAGGCTTTGGCACTGAAACAGAACAAGTACTTAGGCCTCCCCTCCTGGAAATCTTTCTTTAATGTGAGCATAGGGTAAAAAGCCTTCACTGGAAGCAATCCCGAAAGTAGGAGAGACCATTTGGAAAATATTTTTTCATTGTCCAGGATGGGCCAGCCCTGTCTGCTCATCTTCTGTCTTGCTGGGTCAGTTCTTTCCTCTGCTCCCAAAGCAATTTCTGATCATTTTCCTTGGCTTTCCTCTATCTTCAGCAGAAGAAACATGAGTCCCCTCACAGGAGATCAGCCCCACAGTTGGAGAAGCGTGGCTCCCTCAGCCATGACTCTTCAGTGGAAAGTACGTCCACTATTCCACCTCTGCAGGAATATGCAATAGCTGCAAACCTGCAGGCAAACAATTTAAAGACCTCAGCTGAATTCAGGCCAAATGCTAAGACAAGCATTCCCTTTTATTCTTTCAAAAAGTGCCAGGGGAGGTTTTGATGGTCATAGCAGATTTCACTCTGCATTTGTGTGAGTTGATGCCCGAGCAGCTAAGTCATTCCTTAGCCCTACACTGGAGCATTTGGTTTCTGACTGTGGAAGATCATCTACACACTTCCGCAGCCCTTCTTCCTGAAGCACTAGATGTTCTTGCAAAATCTCCCATCCATAGAAACTAGCATGGTTAAAACTTCCTGAGTCGTTATGTGAAAAAATATTGCACTGTGGAAAATGGAAATACTTGAATAATCCTGTCCTAATGCTCCTTTCAAAGGAAATTGTGTTAGGTTGAGATATACTGGGGATGACCTGCCAGCCAAGCTGTCGTGCTTTCTCCTGCCGAGTTAGAGACCATGATTTGATTGCGGTCCCAGATTCTTGACTGAGGCAGGAGGGTAGAGACTTCTCCATATGCAGTATTGTATTTGCTGTCCAAAGGGAAGAGGTGAAGGCTGGTGATTTTGCAAAGTTTTGAGCCATGCTAAAATCATTTCCCTATAACTAGAGTCCTTAGTATGGACACTGGGGTTGGTGGCGGGCAATCCTTGCCCACAAAGCCCAGCATTTCCCCTGCAGAGAGTGTTCCTCCTTGTGAGCCCGGGCGCCTTGTTCTCAAGGTTAACATTTGAATACTACTGTACAGCTCAACTGCCTTAGTTGTGCCTTGACTTTTTGATTTGTTGCTTTTGCAGAATTCATTGGTGGTTGAGATACCACCTTTCCGCAATCAGAGAATTACCAGCCCTGTTCAGGTCAACTTCTATGTCTGCAATGGAAAAAGAAAGAGAAGCCAGTACCAACTTTTCACTTATCTCCCTGCTAATGGTAACAAAATATATTCCTTATCTCTGCTAGTAAAAGTGAGATAATGATGACCTCTTAGAAAGATATATGGTTCTGATAATTCTTTAGTAACCTGGGAAATTGGGAAGTACACCTGGTACTATGAAATGAGAATGAGAATCAACCCAAGAGAGCTGCCTTTCTCTCTGCTGCACACATAAGAGAACTCTTCTGTAGATTATTTCCATTTCTGTTGGTGGCAGAGACCTGTTGGAACAAGACTTCTGCTTTTGGGAGCAGCAGAAACGCACATGTGTGGCCACAAATTGTGAAGGCACTGAGCTCTCTGCTAAGTTGCTGTCAGCCCTTGGTCTGACATTCTGGTCCTAGAGGGTACGTTGCATTTGAATAACACTTCTGAAGTTGCACCACAGCATTGTAAACATGCTGGGCTCTGAGCTGTAGGTGGTATGTGGATTCTACTTCCAGTTATCCTACCACCTCGCTGTCTCACATGGGGTGAAAGAACTGCTCCAGGATGATGCTTCTCTTGGGCAGTGATGGGAAGGACAATGTGGACGGAGACCAGAGTGCTCCACGCAAAATGCTTAATTTATGGGAAATGTTCAGAAACGTGTGCCAATATTTTTTTGAGATTCTATTGGTGGCTGTGAAGTGACCATAAAGTCACTCATGCTAGCTGAATTCCAAGCAGACTTTTACGAAGATTTTAATAGCAAGTAAATTTAGATTTTTTTTTTTCCTTTTTTAATTTTAAATGGCTCTTTTTCTGAGAATGGTCTTTTGGGGAAAGTAGGGAAAAAAGGGTGGCTGTTTTGTTGTTGTTGTTGTTTTGGAAAGAAGAGGAATGAGAAAAATGATTAAGTTCCTGCATTTCTGTAGACTTTCCAAGTTAAAGTAGTCCTTCTGAGGGAAATTCCCACAAAGCAATACTCAAGTCATGTCACATGACTTGAAGAGACCTGCCAGTTTTTTGTAGGTGAAATCCCATAAAGTACACATTTGGAATTTCACTCAGTTAGCTTACATGCACTTCAGACTTTTATCAGAACTTTACTTTAAAATAAAAGTACAGGAAACCTGATATGGGCAACTGACTGCTTATTGCATATGTACTGTGTAGCTATGCTTCACTGAATCAGCCTACTTATGCAAACTTCACCCCCTGTGGGGATGTCTGTGTATACTTCAAGACTGTTCATCTCTTAAATTGGAAAGAAAAGAAGTTGTTATTCTCTTGCACAACACTTTTCAGCAACAAAAATCAGTTGTAGAGGCAATCAGGTATTGTCTTGTCACGCAAGTTTTCCTCCTAAGTATTTCAGGTTCATGCCTCTTGTTAATTGCTCTTTATTAAGCAGCATCTTGCCTCCAGCCTTTACACAGGTGGTTTTTTACCATTGTATTCTAAACCATGGGAATAGTATTCACTGCTGCAAAATTGGTTTATGGTACCACCATTCTCTATATGAAACATTTGATATTTCATTTGATGTGAAGAGATGGGAATATATACATAGTGACAGGCAACAGAGAACCAGCCTAAGTTTTATTCTGCAAAGACATCTTTAATTATGGTAATTGTTGAAAACATTAGTCTGCTGTACCTAAACCATGGGAATAGTATTCACTGCTGCAAAATTGGTTTATGGTACCACCATTCTCTATATGAAACATTTGATATTTCATTTGATGTGAAGAGATGGGAATATATACATAGTGACAGGCAACAGAGAACCAGCCTAAGTTTTATTCTGCAAAGACATCTTTAATTATGGTAATTGTTGAAAACATTAGTCTGCTGTACTAAATGCATG